CCCCAAAACCCCAAAACCCCAAAACCCCAAAACCCCAGTGATTTATTCTCTAGCTGGTTTGTATATATTTTACCGATATTTTGTAATAAAATGGCCAAAATTGATCAAGGCACCGAAGCAGAAGATAGTTATAACCTAGATCTTAGCTCCTGCATGCTATGGGATTTTAGAAAGCACCATATGAACGGAGACAGCATGAGGAAATAAAGGTCAATATACAATAAGTCACTCCCCAATGAGAGATAGTGAGAAGAGAACCAAGGAGAATAAGATGAATATGAAATCTTATCATATCAACTTTATGAAAGATTGTAAGCTATCAACTGTCTTTCATATCTGTCTGTGAGCTTTATAGACAATCTCCTCCAATATAAAGTTTAGCTTGGTATTTTCTACTATTTCGTTGTTAATGTTAATTTTCATAGATCACAAAATAAAATAACCAACGAGTTATGAATATTCGGAAAAGAATGCCAAACCAGTTTGAATCCTTTGCATCTGGCAAGACGTTGTACCCTCAGAGCAGGGACTCCAGTAAGTCAAGTAAGAAAGAGATCCTCGCTGAGAAAGTTTTGGTTAAGAACTTCTACAAGAACAATGATGCTGAAGCCAGTGAACTTGATATCACAATTCCTCAAGCAAATCGTGTCCGTACTTCAAACAAGAGTATTGAAAACCTTCAAGAAGAAAGCAGTAATCATTGTCTTATTTGTAGAATAAAAGGATGGACTACCTTATGCCGATGGACTATTCTAAATAATTCTCTCTTTCCGAATATAAAGCACCAAGCAAGTCTCTCAGGAACTCCTGGTCGGTTCCTCAGAGATAAATCTATGGAGTCAGTTCAGAGTGCTGCTAGCCAGACTGATGATAATCCTCATCGGAAGAACATTAGAGAGAAAGTAATCCAGTATTGAAAGCCAAAAGTAGAGTATCGTAAAAGCTTTGTGAAGAAGCAAAATCAACCAAGAAAGAAGTTGGTTCTATCCAAATTAGACAAAATGAGGATCCTTTCTGAAACTCAGCTTAGACAACTTCTATGCAAGGAGATTCAAGAGAATAAATAAGTTTTTAGAGTCCAGGAGCAAGTTATTCAAGAGGAGAGCAAGACAGTCTATATCAATTGAAGACAAAAGTCCGACTCAAATCCATGATGAAGAGAAGGATATGGAGTTCAAGAGCATTCGGATTTCAAACCATAAATTGTCAATTAATCCACTATCAACAAAGGAGAATACTATTCGTCACGATCAGTTTAAAAATCTAGCATTCTACAGAGGAGGGATCGAGACTAAGAAATCAAGAAGATGTAGGACAAGAAGAGACCCTGTTAAGATATCAAGGTCTTATTTTCTGAAATAAAAGTACAAACCCAAAATGTAGATTGATGAAGAAAGAAGTACAACCCTTAACTCACTTTATAGACCACTATAGAAACCGTATACCCAAAATACTGCAGTAAAAGTAACAAAAAGCTAGCTGATCTCCAAGCAGAGCTTGCTCAAAAGACCAAAAACACCTCTATCGACGACGTGCACATCTCTAGCTTCATTTCCTACTTGTACCTTTCCCTCTAACCATAGTGGCAACTACCAACGCTGGATCTTCAAGCGCACCTCAAACCCTTTACCGCACTCCAAGCCAGACTCCACTCTGTCCCCTAAAATCCACTCATCTGACCACAATCCCCTCCACCCCCTAGTCCCCACTCCTTCCGCCAGCCAAGATCACACCTAAAATCACCCGTTTTCTCTTAAAATCCCTAAATTAGCCTAAAATTTCAACTTTTTGTACTACAAAAGGGGTTTTGGGGTTTTGGGGTTTTGGGGTTTTGGGG